ACACTGTCAAAGTAATGATAAAGGATTCTAGAATCATCATGGCTTGAGGGTATTTTGCAAAGGGTGATTATAATAGCTTATCTGTTGATCACTGGTCAGCTCAGGTTTGTGGTACGTGAGTATGGAATATTAGAAGTGTGGAATATTAGAACGTCCTGGGTCTTGCCCTCCCAGAGCTTACCCAGCATGGTTAGACTAACACAACAATAGAGCACCATTAACCACTAAACTGATGTGGCATGCCCAGCAAATGCCCCTAGCGTTCAAAGAAAGGAAACGTGGAATAGCCTGGCTAAAACGGACTTTGAAAAGATTAAATCGGGGTACACCAAGAAAGATGTGGAAGTAGAGTTCCTACCTAACACCTACTGTCAAGCCTTTCTATACATTATCTCGAAGCCTTGCAATCCTGCAGAATATCTGTTATTATTGTCATCGGATGCATGAGCAGACAGAGGCTCAGAGAAGCTTTACTTGCACAAAGCCACACAGAAAGTAAACGCAAGGAAATAGTGGAACAGAGATTGGAGCCCTGGCCTGCCTCATCTCAATCCATTCTCAGCACACTAGATGGGAGGAGGTCTGTGCCCTGAGATGTGTAGGATGCAGGTTGCAGTGGTCCAAGATGGGCCTCCGTGCCGTGAACAGGATCCAGACTAATAGAGGAAATGAATGAAACTCTTCCCTTGAGAGGTAGGGAGTGGGCTGGTTAATAAAAAATTTGTCTTAGTACTAATTTCTAAAACTTCTACACATGTCTGATGGTTAGCCCCTATAGGTCACCTTTGTTTTGTGTCCACAAGTTCCCCTCTTGAACAGCTGAGTTGTGCTTAGTAGGAGACTGATGCTTTGCCCTTGATCCAGGTTCACAGTGGTCTTGCTATTGAATGAGTCACAGCCTAAAACTGTGCACATCCTATAGCGCTCAGAATAATTGTAACCTTCCAGGGACCTCTCCTTCCTGAGCAAACTCTCTGTTCTCCAGAGTACAGAGACCCTGTGCAAACTGTTACTGAGCACTGCTTGGATGAGACACCACACTAGACAAAAACTGCATGAGCAGCAGCCGGGGAGACACATGTCCCAGGCTTACATGTTCTCTCTCTGCCCACATTTGGCCTTTTTCACCTTGGGATAGTACATTCCTACATCCAGCTGCACTCAGTGCTAGCTGTGCAGGGTATTCAGATGGCTTTAAATGAGAAACTCGCATTCTCTGTGAGTGTGTACATGAGGCAGACATAATAAATGAAGCATGAAATAGTGAAATACGGACCCCATATCGGGGAGCCCATGTACGGGTGAGAGCTGGGGACCAGCAGGCACAATCAGGGCACTGTTTAGGGAGCAGGTGCTTCAGGGCAAGTGGCAGAAAGCAATCATAGAGATCTAAAAAGGGGCTGCTTGGCCAGGCTGTGCCTAGAAGAATGACTCCCTGCTCCTGTCCCTCTGGGGGATAAACTCAGACCTTGTGACAGAGTCCTTCAAGGGCTGGCCAGCAGCAAGCTCACCTGAGTATATTCTGGAGCCTTCTGTGGAGACTCAACAGGACCAGCATTACTCCTGGGCTGCAGCATTCGGTGCCAAGCCAGCAAGTTCTCTCTGCTCACCTGCTGGGGCAAGAGTGAAAACAGAACGATGATTTGTTGAAAGAAAAGAAAAAATCATTCAATGACACTGTTAAAGCCCAGTAAGGAAAGAAGTCTTTCTTCAGGACCATCTCCATAGGTGCAGGGACACCCTGTTGCAGTGAGAGTGATCAGTCTCAACTCTGCATACAGCACAGGCAAGTGGAAATCCAAAGAGTAGGATGTTACTAAAAGGATACATCAGGGGTAAGGGGAATTCTGGCTAAACCCACCCAACAGGATTCTTGCAGAAGACAGGCCAGGGTGATCAGATGTCCCCTGGGGTTGGGGGGATGGAGGTGAACGAGAAACCTGATGAGATACCAAGGATGGGGCGTTCTTGCTAAATTGACTTAGCAGAGTTCTTGCTGAAACTAGATTTTACATAGAAGTGAGTACAGGAGAAGGTTCAGGAGCCTGACTAAAGTTTAGCCCAGCAGAGAATCTTTGTCACCTTTTACAGACTCATTAGTCACCAAAGTGACCAGAGTAAGCTCCCACCTCTTGTGCGGCAATTAGAGGGGCTGGAGAGCAGACGCGGTTCCCAGGCTGGGCGTGTACGTGCATCACTGCAGCTCCATGACACAGGTGTTACCACCCCCACTTCCCAGATGGCCTAATTGAGCCTTGTGGAAGGGTTGAGTCGATTCCTCAAGATCACATCACTAATAATTAGGAGAGCAGGGAGTTACACACCCATAGATCTCCTTCCCAGCAATCTCTCCCTAGGGAGTATTCTATCAGGTGCTTGAATTCTAAAATCAGTGGCTTGGGAGTAAATTAAAAATATTTTTCAAGTCTGATAAGTGGGCAATTATAAGTATAATAAATTCCTGGGTTCAGATTCTAACTCTTCCATATTAGCAGAGTACCTTGGGCAAGTTGCTGAATTTATAGGTATAATAATATCTAATTCCAAAGGGCTGTTATGAGGTTTAAGTAAGTGAATTGTTATAAAATGCTTATAATATTTCTTTGAACATGGTAAGGACCCAATAACCACTAGTCATTATCATTATTTCTTGAAATAATCTCTCCTAATCTAAGCACCTTTCCTTTTCTTAATTTTTTTTACTCCTACACGTGTGTATTCACGGCGTACACGTGCAATCTTGATACATTGACATATTGCATTGTGGTGAAGTCAGAACCTTCAGCTGAACACCCTCAACCCAGTCCCCTAGCTCCGCTGAAGTTCATTGCTATGAGATTTGACCTGAATTTAATTGGTGGAAACAATAAAGAAGATATTAAATACTTAATTAAGCTACATAATAAAGCAATACAAGCCAACGAGTGTCAGATAATCCAGGGTAATATACATGAGAGATTAATTAAACCTGCTCCATTCCTTCATGCATGCTGAATTAGCTATAATGACTTAAATGATCCAACCCCAAAATGTCACACTCATCTAATTTTTGTTGCATTCATTATTCAGCATTTGCACTCATCGTCAAAAAAAAAAAAA